CAGATCATTTCAGATCTTTCCAGGAGTCTTGAAACTCTGTCACTCACTGCAGAATGATCTGAAACAGGATGAGGAATGGGTGTGGGTGTGGGCATAGTCTACAGCCATGATAACTGCTTTATTAAATCTTCTGCATGCTGGAGGGTATCTTTCCACCACTCAATTAATGCTTTGATCGATACCTTTCTAATAGCAACATGATGCAGAGTGAATAAAATGGTGTATCTATCCTTCTCAGGCCCTTTCATTTCTTCCATATTCTTTTCTGCCATAACGATTTCTTTGCCTTCAGAATATACCTAGGAATAGACTGGATGTCTAGGAGTAGAACAGGTGGGTCAAATTCCATGTCTAGGTTTAAATTGTTAGGAAACTTTTCTAAGTAGCTTTCTCATTTTCCATTCCCATCCTCCAGCCATGGGTGACAGTTCCCGTTGCTCCTTGTAATGACCAGCATGGTCAGCCTTGGGTTTTGCCAAGTTTGTGGTGGTATCTCATTGCATTTTTGATTTGTATGCCCCAAATAATCAATAATCCCTATCCTGTGTGCAGTGCCATTTACACTTCTTCTTTAATGGGTTTTCTTGCCGACTTTTTAAGTTGAATTGCTTGTTTTCTTATTGAGTTCTTAGGATTCTTTATGTATCTTGGTTATGTGTGTTTTCCTATGCTTTGTTCTATGCTTTATGAATGTGGTGTTTGCTTGTGATGTTGTAGATCTTGCAAGTACTGACCACCGAGCTATATGTTTTAGATATAAATCCTTTCTGGAAGAAATTTACAAACTGATTCTAAAACTGATACGGAAACTAGGTGCCAGTGGCTCACATTTATAATCCTAGCTACTCAGGAAGCTGAGAACTGGGGGATTGCAGTTTGAAGCCAGCCCAGGCAGGACTACCCATGAGACTCTTATCTCCAATGAATTACCAAAAAGCTGGAAATGGAGCTGTGGCTCCAATGATAGAGCACTAGCCTTGAGCAAAATTAGTTCAGGGATAGTGCCCAGGCCCTGAGTTCGAGCCCCAGGACCAGCAACAACCACAAAAACAGTCACCCACTTGTTTAAACCACCGACCTTTAAAATCTCCTGAGAAAGACATTTTTAATTATCTCGTCCACCCAGTTTCATTTAATATACAGTGTCCACTTTCTGTATGCTTTTTCCTAAGGTAGAGCATGCCAAGAGGTGATTGGTATTTCCAGCCACCCAAAGGTAGCACAAGGACGTCTGTAATGCGTTGTCCCTAATAAAGCAGCCTTGAGCTTGAATGGCCGCATTGGCCTGCTTCCTCTTTTGGAGCAAGGGACATTCCTGTTTCAGAGTACATAATGCTTTCTTATGCCCGAAAAGAATGCATGTGCCTCCCTCTGCCAGTGACCACTTACATCTAGAGAGTGACCAAAGCATGGGAACACATGTTTTTCTGTGTGTCTGAGCCCACCCACTGGTTCCCGGCAGGGCTTGGAGAAAGAAGTATCAAGTCCTAAAAAGGCATGTGGGTTGAATAGCACAATATGCTTGGATACCCTTGCTTCGTGTAAACACAGGGTAATTGTGAAATCTAAGAGCCTGGGTGTTGCAGTTCAGCAAGGGTCTGATTGGCGTTTAGAATGTCTCCCAGGATAGTGCCACAGATGGCTTTGTCTAGAGAAGGGGTGTGTACATGACCCTGGTCACCAGGGCTTCCTTGCATTTCTCCTATGAATGTTGCATCCCTGGTTCTCATTGAGAGGAATTTTGAGAGCCTCTAGCACTTCCATGGCAATGAGCTTCGGACTAGCTCATCTCATTTTCTCAATTGTGAGCAAAGTACTTTGATGTAAACTGAAAAGTCATGGACAAACTGAATTCCCTTCTCTTTGCAGTAGAAATAACATAGCTTATAAAGTTTACCCCAAATCTGGTCATTGCTGAGTAAACTGTTTTAAACTATCAGTGCCAAGGAGTCCTTTATGACTTTAGCTTTGACGTCATGTAAGTGCCTGCGTCTAAGAATACAAAAACATACATTGCGTAGCCTCTCTGGTTTCACGGGACAAAAAGCACAGGATCAGATTCCTTATTCCTACTGTATACCATTTTATGTAGGCCTTTACTTTTTTAATGTCTCCATGCCTTCCCATATTCAGAACAAGAACTACAGTAACAACCTTCATTTACTCTGCTGGCAGGATTTTGGGATCACATCTTTTCTGGGTGTTCTTGATCGAAGTGGTGGTAAGGGGATATAAACTCCTTTAAATATTCTGTCCATTCTCTGCCCCATCCCCACTGCAGTAAGTCAGTCTTTCTAACTTTAAACCAGTCATATAGAGTAGCTTCAACCAGATCTGAGATTTAGCAAAATTCGAAAAGATGGATTGTTCTTTGTGAACAACATTTTGAAAACTTAAATCTTACTTTTTAATCAAGTTAGCATATGTAAACTTTCAGTATATGGGTGGGCTCTGGGCTTCTTGGCAGCATTAAAATTTGCCAAAGCACCAAAAAAAAAAAAACCTTTGGGTTTTTAATTTGGAAGCAGTTTTTAAAATATAGGTAAGAGGAAAACCAACAATACCGAACATCTAGACACATATCCTTTTACACGGTCATCTATGCTCATATAAGATTTCTGTAAGATATAAGATATAAGATTTATATAAGATGTAATAGTTCTTACCCACTAGGATCTCTTCTGCAATTTTCAATCTAAAAATCCCAATATTATCTCTGTGCATATTTATTTTAATAATGTCTCTTTACTTATGTTTTGTGAATCTTTTTCTTCTTTTATTGAAAAGGTGATGTTTGATTTTCTTAGTAAAGGTGGATGGAGACTATCTAGGTGGGAAAACAGGAATATGATAATGGCATTTGTTTCTAAGCAATTGTTAGAGGCAGTAACCTATAAGGATTAGGGAACGAACAGGGAGATTGTTTCCTCTACCTGCAAAACCAACAGTAAATAATGGTTCCTGATTTCGTCAGGAAAATGGAATGTACAATAGGAAATAGTAGTGTAATTGTCAGAAAGTATCCACACAGCTAAACAAACTACCTGCCTGGTATGAGTATTTCAGTTCTGGGAACAGAGGTAAACAGGGGGGAAAAAATGAAGCCTGAATAGAGAGTAACAGGAAAAAATTAGGTTTACTTCTCTTTCGCTCAATTATCCATGGAAATGAAGGCACCAATTTATGTCATGGATGGGAAGGGAGAAAATTCCTGGATTTAATTAATCTCCACATATGTCTAATGATGAATGGCTTGCAGGGTTAAGGCACTCAAAATTCATTTCTCCTTTGAGAGTTTTGATGTTCACTTCTTGTCTGAAAGCGCTCAATTTTTCTTGAAGGCTTGCACACAACACCCACTAGAGTTGGTTGTGCAATTTCTTTTGAACCTTTGATGGACAGCTTTTCCATTAGAAATCTAACACACACACACACACACACACACACACACACACACACACACACGCCCTTAACGAACTGGCTTTTCTTGCAGGGTGGGGCCCAAAGAAAGAACTCGGGGACTGAAAATGTGAATGTTAATGCTTTGTGATCAAAGGAGGAGACAGTGGCCACTGTTGTCACCTTATTTTAAGCGGGGTAAGCCAATAATGTGTAGGAGGAGAGCCAATGGTCGAAATGAAGTTACAGGTATGAATTTTACATAGAACAGATTAATATTATATGCCATGGTGGAATGTTAAATACTCCACGTCCATGCATTTTTAATCTTTCCGCGCTCTAATTTAACGTTCAAGGCAATTGCATTTCTTTAGACCACTTCTCCATCAACATGAGCAAAAGAAAATCCCACCCCGATCTTGTTTTATTTATATCTCTTCATCAAAACCTCTGCATTCGATTTGGATCTCTCTCTCTCTCTCTCTCTCTCTCTTGCTAAGCTTTAGCATTTTCTTTTAAGGCAAAGAAAATGGGAAGGTTACACATTCCATTCTATCATTATGGTTTAAGCAATTGTGAGGAGGCGAATAATGAGACGGAACGGGGACACATGCAGAACAGAACGAACATGCCTTCTTGAACAGTGAGTCTTTCTTAAGACACTGGAATCCCAGGGATGGAATGATGGGTGGCGGAGAGTCCCCTGCACCGCTTTATTAAGTAAGAATGGCAGGCTAGCCGCGAGCAGGGCCCAGAAACTCCCCATAGCAGCCTAGGCCGAGGGAGCGTGAATTCCAGCCGCACATTCCCTCAGTTCTTCACAGGAACTTCTCTTTCTCTTTTCCCCTCCCTTGGGCACACACACCATCCTGGCCCGGATCCCACCCAGCTCTTTTTCTCAGCGCCCCTACCCACAGCGTTGACGGAATGGAGTGCCCTTCCCATTGGCCCGAACGTCATTCCCTGTGGTGGCACTGCCCTCCTGATTGGCTGGCCACTCCCGACACTCCCCCCGCCCACCATCCCTCCACACGGGTTGCCCGGTTCCCCCAGCCTCCGAGCACCGCCCGAAGCCCCCGCCCTCGCCACCTCCCTCGGCACACACCCGCCTGCGCGCCCAGCCTCCCCGGGGTTCGGCTCAAGCTGCACCCGGCCAGCGTGCTGGCCACGCCCCTGGTCGGAATGGCCCCGCCCCCTGGTCCCGCGGCTGTATAAATAGAGCTGCGCGGCGGGCTGGGCGACAGTGTAGTGCGGGAGGCGCGGTTGTGATCCCAGATCCTGAGTGGGGAGTCTCGGGCGCGGGGAGTGCGGCGGCGGCGACCGGTCCTAGTCTAGGGACTCGGGTGGGCTACTTTCTCCTTTTTCTTTTTTTCTTTTAAAAAGGTTTTCCCTTCCCGGTGCTTTTGATTTTGATCGCTCACGTCTCGGTTCGGTCCAAGTGTCGCCCGCGGAGCAGAGACTTCTCCCCCCCCCTTGCAAAGCCCGAGCGACCCCCCCAGTCCGATTGTTGGGGCTCGGAATCGCCAGGGGCGGGGGGGCGTCTCGGTGCCCCACGCGCGCTTCGAGCGCCGGCGAAGGGAGCGAAGCCGACCGCGGGCGGGGGGACCCGGAGCTTGCCTTGCCTTCTCCGCACACCCCAGCGGGTCCGCTCCGGCAGGGCGCAGGGCGCAGGGCGCGCGCGCGATGAAGGCAGTGAGCCCGGTGCGCCCCTCGGGCCGCAAGGCGCCGTCGGGCTGCGGCGGCGGGGAGCTGGCGCTGCGCTGCCTGGCGGAGCACGGCCACAGCCTGGGCGGCTCGGCGGCGGCGGCGGCGGCGGCGGCGGCCGCGCGCTGCAAGGCGGCCGAGGCGGCGGCCGACGAGCCGGCGCTGTGCCTGCAGTGCGATATGAACGATTGCTACAGCCGCCTGCGGAGGCTGGTGCCCACCATCCCGCCCAACAAGAAAGTCAGCAAAGTGGAGATCCTGCAGCACGTTATCGACTACATCCTGGACCTGCAGCTGGCGTTGGAGACGCACCCGGCTCTGCTGAGACAGCCGCCACCGCCCGCGCCGCCGCACCACCCGGCCGGGACTTGTCCCACCGCCGTGCCACCGCGGACCCCGCTCACCGCGCTCAACACCGACCCGGTGAGAGGCCCGGCGCCGGTCCCAGGGCGGACGCCGCGGGGATCCGGAAGGGTTGGGTGGTGGGACGAGGACTATCTTCGGGCCCCGAGTGACAGTCTCCTCCCCCCCCCTCCTTTCTCGGGGCGCAGGGAGCTGCCGGCTGGGTTGGGCTGGGCGGCCGCGGGTTGGGGCGATCGCGCGGGGCGGGACTAGGGGCTGTGCGCCTCTGGGGCTGTCAGGTCCCGCGGAGGGGGGGGGCTCTGTGGATGCAGACCCCGGGTAAAGGGTAGGGGTAGGTGCCAATAGCCAGCCAGGTTTCCAGTCTGCGCCTGCTAACCTTTCCCCTGGTGTTCGGTTGCTGTTCCAGGCCGGCGCCGTGAACAAGGGCGACAGCATTCTGTGCCGCTGAGCCGCGCGGTCCAGGTGAGCGCGCATTTCCCGTCTCGGGTGGCCGATCACCGGAGACAGCCCTCCCAGAGGTTTCTGGGGCCTGGCATCACCTTCCTTTTTGCCCGCTCCCCCTCCCCCCTCCCCTGCCCCAGCATTTCTGAGCGTAAACTCTCCTCTTTCTCTCTTTTCCTGCCACCCCTTTGGGCAAGTCTGCACTTGGCTTATCAAGTCGGGGTTCACTCAATGGAGACTAATGGGGTCTTGTCCCTCACCGCCCCCACATTCCTCTCCCGCTGACCTGCGTGTTCTGCGAATCTGCCCTACCTGCACCCACGCACCCTACCCCCCCCCCCCCGAGGGAGGGCACCTTCTTGGGCATGGAAACTGTTCTGATGTTTCACCCACCCACCCACCCCACCCCGTTACCCCACCCTGCGCGCACTTTGACATCCATCGAAGTGGCTTCTCTCTCTGAGCTTTTCCAAGGGGCCCGCATTCTCTTCCTCCAAGCCTGGTCAGGCTGCGGGCTGCGGGCTGCGGTGTTGTCTGACCTGGTGGTTTGTTTTGGGTTGTTGATCAAGCATGTCTTGAGTTTGGTCGGTGGCGCCAGTTAGTCTACAGCAAGAAGGTTCACACACCCCCTCTATTCATTCCTCTTCCACAGGTGTGCGGCCGCCTGAGCCTCAGCCAGGAGCCCTAGAGAGGGAGGGGAAGAGCAGAAGTTTAGAGAAAAAGCCACCGGAGAAAGGGGAAGGAGAGAGGAAAAAAAAATCAGCAAATCTAGAAACGTTTTCACTCGTCATTCCAAGAGAGAGGGAGAGGAAGGAAAAAAGAAATTTTAAAAAACTTTCATCTTTTTCTTTTGCACGTTCATAAACATTCTACATTCGTATTCTCTTTTGTCTGTTCACTTATAACCGCTGTGAATTGTACATTTCTGTGTCTCTGGAGGTGCAGTTAAAGTTTTAAGCGTAAAGCGTGACAGGACTGATAAATAGAAGATCACGAATAATCCGACCTTAGAAGGCTATTTTGTGACCAAGGAGCTCAATTTTTGTTTTGAAGCTTTACTAATATACCAGAGCATTGTAGATATTTCTCCTTTTTTCCACCCCTTTTGACATCTATTGTTTAAAATAGATGATTATAACAGGGCGAGGAACTTTCTTTTCCCTACAAGAATGTTACATATTGTATAGATAACGGAGTGACATTTCATACCATGTATATAGAGAGATGTTCTATAAGTGTGAGAAATTATATGCTTTAATAGACTACTGTAATTATAAGATATTTTTAATTAAATATTTTTTGTAAATATTATGCGTGTGTTCTTTTTAATCTATGGGGATATTTCTTTTTGTAATTTTTCTTTTTCTTTTCTTTTCTTTTTAAGCTTAATGGCAGAGCTCTTGATATCTTGAATGTCTTTTCTGTTTTGCTTGGCTTTTAGTATTTCTTCTTCCCCAGTATCCAGTATGTCATACTCTAACAGTTATAGGTAGTGATCTTGCATGATTGCATGAGGTGTTGAATCACAAAATAAACTCGTTCTGAGTCCATTCAAATGTGTTTTCTTTAACCTAGATTGAAACCTTTGTATCTGACGTGTACATGTTGAAAATAGATCTTCATCAGTTTTAAAGTACAGGGTTTTATAGTGTAATATATAAAGAGTGTTTTGTTATTTGTTTTGGGGGGGGGGCTGAGGTCAAAATGGATTCTGAATGCTTTTACATAAAGGATGGAGAAATGCTTGGATTAGCACAGAGTTTAAAAAGTCTGCTGTTTTATCAAAGTGGAAAAAATGTCACTCTTCCATTTTACATTAAGGCATAATGTCATAAAGTTTCATATCTGTACAGATTGTTTGAATCATAGAAATGGAAAATGTTCTCTGCTTGCTACCAAAGGACAAACTCTTGGAAAATGAATATTTTCTGCTCTTTCCTCCAAAGAATATTAATAGGCACCAGTACGAGAAAAAAAAAAAAAAAGGTGTAATTGCTAATCCTTCAAGCAGGGATAAAAGTCGATCTTCAAACATTAAGTAGACCAAAAATTCTGATGACCGCATCTAGATTATTTTTTTATAAAAATGATTTTCACTATAGTTATGTCAGTTACCGCTAAGCCACTGTCCAGTCCCTTGTGATGTGTAACTTTTACATGTGAAAATTAAAGTAGATTTATCTGTCTTATACTGTGATTTCTGGTCTCATTTCTTTAAAACTTTACATTTTATTATATTAAGATCCTTTAAGGTAGGTTATACTTCCTTGGTGAGATAGGATCATCCGTGTTTGTGAACATTATTCATTTAATGTAATGGGTACTTTACACACCAGTTAGATGGACTTTTTAGGGTGAGCGAATTAAGTAGGATTTAATTGGGTGCTTTGTAAATAGTCAACTGTGTGTGTAACGTGGTCTGTTTGATTTTTGAAAGGAAAGGATTTGTTTCAGATTATACAAGAATAAAAGTCTTATAGACCCAAGGGACTTTTTATGAGGTCAAAGTCAAATATTTATATGAATATGAAATACCATGGTCCCTAGTAGTCCACTGAAGTGGCAATGTCTTAACAGAAATGAACACAATGAATGCCAGGGGGATAAAAAAATCAATCAAAGAGTTGAACAAAATCTCTTATTCCCAGTATATTTTCCCCTTAGCTCTCTTAGTGATCTTGGGTATTTTTAGATTTTGATGTTGAACCTTATAAAGTCAAAGGACTGCTTGTTTAGATGAGGGGTGTGTGTGTGTGTGTGTGTGTGTGTGTGTGTGTGTGTGTGTGTGTGTGTGTGTGTGTGTGTGTGTGTGTGTTTTATAACATCCATTCTTTTCACACATCAAGAGGAAAACACTTAGAATGCTGCTGGAATCCCAAGTCTGAAAAATTCTGAGGATTGCATTCTCTGTCATTAAAAAAGGGCACAATTCCTCCTTTTCATCTAGCAGTTTAATTTCAGTAGGAAGAATGTCACATGCGCACAGTTCGTTGCAATTGGACATTTGTCATGCCTGATTGCTGAACCCTACCTAAGCCTCTGGCAGAGTTTAAAACCTATAAAGTTGGACTCTGAACCCCAAAACAAATGGGTATTTTTTTTTAATTTTTGAAGAGATGTTGTGCCTTAATTAATTTTGTATGTGTGCATACAGAATTACTGGAAAAAAATGTTGGAGATAACTAAGTTTCAGAGAGTTAAGATTTTCCCCCTTTGGCTACTCAAGCCCTATTTCATGTCTCCAAATAAACAGTGCTTATTAAGCAAAAATAATTAATACTCAGTTGTACAGGATCTTACTTTCCATTAAGTTGTTGTCTGTCCAAATGCAACTAGTTGGCAAAAACATCTGAGGCTTTTTCCCAAGTAGTTCTAGTTATTGAGATATTTTAACAAAAATAAAGCTGATTATCTCATTTAACTTGCAGACTTTCTTTGTATAGGCACAACCAAAGAATTAGACTCACTGAAAACCATCAGAGGACAATTAAGTATCCTACCCAGTGGACAATGTTTCTAAAGTTGTTATAAAATCTCAGTATCTCAGATATCTCATGTTAAAGGAGAAAACATTCCCTTTTTCATTTCAGAAAAGTGAACATACTTTGATATTATATAAATCATACTCAAGTTTATTGTCGAACTTTAACTGCATTTTTAGAATTGTAAAAACATTTTGACTCCCCCTCCCAAATGTATTATAGTAGATGCTTTCTATGCCAATAAATCTTCACTGAGAAAAAGGTTCCGAAGTTTGTGGCTTTTTTAATTGACTTTTACTGAGTTCTGTAATTTTTCATTATCAAGAGTAGGTCCCTTGATGGATCACCTCAATTATGTACAGCGTTTCTTACCATGTGATGAAAAATGGGACTTAAAAATGGTGATATGAACAGAAAGAAAATCTAGTTTCAATGTGGAATGCTTCCCTACTCTGCCAGGACAGGAAGCAATAACCCTCAAAAAGCAGCGGGGTGATGCCCGGGGAAAACGAGATTTTTTTTTTAAGTACATAATGGAGACAGAAAGAAATTACTTCACAGTAGTACAGAGTCAAATAAACCTGGCTTTGCCTTTCTAGGTGGCACACTTTAATTATATATATGTTAATCAGCCCAGATAGCCCTTGGGTCTCTACAGGGCCAAACACCAAACCCTCCAGGCATAGGAAGAAGGAAAACCTTCCCATGGCTGCTTTGTAAGTCCAGGAAATTAATTTCCCACCTCAGAATGGATCTTAATGGAGCTGCCCTCAGTAGGTATGTGTTTCAGACCCAAATGATTTTTTTTCAATTATAACTCATGATGTTTTGCTAAAAATATTAGTGTTATTAATTAGAACCATTGCCCACAAGGTTTTAGGATTGTAATTTTACTTACAGCTCTTCCTGGATCACCGAGTCACTTGATACATTAAAAGATAAAGAAAAGCCTTATGAAAGAAAACTAATTTGTTCAAGGCAGACATCTCGAAGCTATATATTCTTCACTGAACCTGACTTAAGTTTTTTGATGAAGTTTTACAAATGCATCTGTGTTCAGGCAACCTCCTTCACACTTATTCACACTCTGGCTCCTTCTCAAAAGTTCCACCTAAGTGTTAAAACTGAGGTCTAAGCCACATTGCCAAAGGAAATCCTACCCTCAGCAGAGCAGAGTAATGGTCCAGCGAGGCTGCTGGAGATAGTACCATTATTCAACCAGTCAATGCACACATGTACAGCCAAAAGAACTGTGAAAATTGAAGTTAATTTGAAAAGCTCCTTCGAATTCAGTTTCTGGGAGAGGAAGATGAACAAAATGTGTTTGTATTCCACTAGCTAAAATATGACACATAAGAAATTGAACTGAAAAATATTTAAATTAATAAGGAGACATGTTTTCTAGATGAATCCACTGGTAACACAGAATGTTTTCCCCCCACAATAAGCCTCATACTTTAGGTAGGAACTTTCTAGGAGATCACATAAATATTGGTAGCGTATGCAAACATCTGGTGAAACAAAATATCCATTCATATTTGTATTTATTTTGTACTGTGGCTTGATCTCAGAGCCTGGGTGCTGTCTGTTAGCTTTTTTTACTCCAGGCTGGCAATCTCACCTCTTGAGCCACAGCCCTACTTCCAGCTTTTTTGCAGTTAATTGGAGATAAGAGTCTCATGAATTCCCTTGCCTGAGCTGGTTTCAAACCTCAGATCACAACCTCCTCAGTAGCTAGGTTTACAGGCATAAGCCACCAGCTCCTGTCTCTGTATCTACTTCTCATTACTGCTTCTCAACTCTTTATGATAGAAAATGTTTATCAGTGCTTATATAGAAAATGTTTAGCAGTGCTTCCAAACTGTACCCTAAAGTCAAGTTTCTTAATTTTTGTTTTTTATTCCAAATGAAAATATTGGAATCAATCATATACAAATTTATAAAAGTTTCTTAAAGTTTACTTAAATATCTTACATAATATTTCTTAAATATTTTTAACATTTCTTAATTATTTTAAATATTTGCTTAAATATTAATATTTTCTTAAATATTTACTACTATCTTTATAAGCTTTAGCAGCCAATAGAGAAAAACAAGTTGTGGGTCTGTGAAATAGCCAACATACAGGAAAATATTTCTCAAAAGGGACTGTTACTAAAACAAAATGTTAACTGATATTAATTGTCCCCTATTTTTGCCAGTTTTTAATTTCTAAGGTCAAGGATTTTCTCAAAGATACACCTTCCTTTTTCTTTTCTGTTTTCTTTTTTTGACTGTTAGATCTAATCATATTGTGGTTACCCCATATGGCACAATAAAAAGGAAAGAAAGAGAATGATAGTCCTTTGCAAAACTAAGGTAATGAAAATATAATTTTTAAAACAGTAAAAAAAATGAGTAAATTAAAGTCATGTTTATCATATCCTAGAATGTTATTTGGACATCAAAAATAATCTCCAGAAAAAAAATAATAAAGAGGAGAAGGATGTTCTTATTTGCATGTCAAACCTCAGAGCACACCCAGTAAACAATCTAAACCAAGACACTAACACTGTACCTCAGAAATAATTCCTGGAAACACGTTTTATACTTGTTGAACTTGGGTCTATGGTTCTAACGAAAACAAAGAAGGCTCCATAAGGTTGAGGACCATGCATGATTTTTCTTTATGTGTCCTATAGGCCCTCATAAAGCATTTGTTCATTCAACAAATAGTACATCCTGCAGACAGTCTTTTCCCAGACCTCTCAGTCACCCCTTCTCTGGCTTTCATCTCCACTGAGTTGCAGTTCAATTTCAAACCGCTGTGTCCAACTCTCCTCTGTCCTCACCATCATGTTGAGATTTGAAATAGAATTTGAGGATCTTCCCCAAACTTTAGCTCTGAGTCCTTAGCTGAAGGGACCTGTCATTAGGTCAGAAACCTAGAAGTGCTCAACTGTGTTTTGTTCCATTCTATTGAGTTGGACACAAATGTTCCTCCTGAAGCTTTCAAATCCCCTCTCCACTCCAGAACCTTTGCTATGCCAGATTATGTCCTTTCCATTTCTCACCTCAACTTGATCCCTTGTCTCATCTTCCTTCCTCTTTTCTGTCTTCCATATGAATCCAAGGTCATGAGTCCTTAATAGTCATCTCTCTCTCTGCCTGTTGGAAGAAGTCTAGCTCCTTGGACCAGTATAGACTTACAGGTCCTTCCAGAGTCATTTCCTACCAACCCTTTCTCTCTTCCAATCCTGACTCTTTGTAAGCACCCACTTTCTACACCTACTGTACCTAGGGTCTCATCCTGCAAATGCTACTGAGCAAAGCATGCTTAATTTGCTAGTCTTGAGAGAGTGTGATTGGTTTCCTGAATGTTCCGAAGGAAGGAGAATCAGGAAGGGGACATAGAATGACGAAGGATGAGGGTGGAGGCCACAGTGCACCTACCTGGCCATCCACACATACTAAGTCAACCCAATCCATTTATGGGTAAGAACAAACCAACTCACATTGAAAATGTCATCCTCTTTTGCTCTTCCCTCCTTTGTATGTGGGGTTATTCCTGCCTGTGGGCTCTTCCTGCCAGTCTTGCTTGTTGTTAAAACTCTCAGGTATATTATCGAAGACTCAACTTCTACCTCTTCTGCCAAAAAAAATTTTATAATATCTCTCCCCTTGACCCTCAAAATAGCTACCACTGTCTGCTGGGCTATAATTATTCC